GGGAAATCATGCTGGAAGATTTGGGGAGTCCATGTGAAACAGATGGGGCTTTACTCTGTAATAGTAGACCAGATATTTCCAGAATGGAGGTATGACCTGATGGCCATGGAATTAGAAAGACAAATTTACTAGTTGTCGTCGTCGTCTTCTTTTTGAGTGACATATGAGAAAAAGAATGGCAATGAGCTTTTTCTCAATTCTGTCTAGTCCATATTTTACAAAATTATTCCATTTAATCCTCACAAGAGCCCAAGATGGCAGGTGCTTCTACAGTTGAGGCAATAAGACTCGGAGAGCTTTGGGTCATCCTAGCAACAAATACTTATTGAGCACCATAGGCCAGGGACTCTTCTAAGGTCTGAAGTTAGAGCCGTGAACAAGGCAGACTGGGCCCTGTTCAGAGTATGCAATGCCAGACAGATGATAACAAAATTACTGCACAAATTTCATCACTACTGGGATTATTGCTGTAAAGGAAATGTGTGAGTATCAGATGGAAAGGGGGTGACGGAGCCTTGTCTTGGGAGTCAGGAAGGGCTCCTCAGAGAAGTGACAGTGGCATCCGTCAGAATGGGCAGCAGCTGCAAGCTGAGGGGGCAGTGGGAAGGATGGGTGGCTGGAGGCTCCCCCAGATGTCATGTTGCTTGCTAGTGGGTTGCAGTGTTGCTGGTGGCTAAGAAAGAGTCCCACCCTGCTCAACTAACATCAGAGAGCTGTGGTCTCTCCTCTCTAGAGGCAGCCTCAGTCCTCACCACTGGTTGAGTGGCTGGTTTTGAAGGATTAAAAGAAAGACCTGCTTAAAATCTAAGGAGTGGCCAATCTCTTTCCTATGTCTCTTACCTCAGTGTCTTGTAAATAAGAGAACAGAAATAGTGAAAAACAACACTGTTTCAAGCCACCTGATTTTGCCTAGATTATGGGCTAGCCTGGGCACCTCATAGACTTTACACAGCCTTGGTTCCAGGAAGGCTGCCCTGTACAGAAACCAGGTCACTAAGAGATGCTGGGAACAGATCCACCCTCTCCTTCCCTTCCACCACCCTGGCCCCTTCCCACCAGCTCCAGCTGCAGAGACCAAGGAGCGACTAGGGCTTGTAACAGCCGAGAAAGGGCAGCTGAGGAAGGGTCCTATGGAAGACCATGGACCTCCCTTCAAGATGCTTCTTGTCAGGTTCCAGCGCTGTGCCTCATAGTCACTCGAGTCATAAAACACTCTTGAGAAGCCACAAATGATATTCACAACTTACAGATGAAGAAACTGAGGCCCATAGAGAATGATCTGAGCCAGAAAGGGGCTAGAAACTTCCTCAGTGTCACCAGCTGGTAGTGCGAAGGATCACCCAGCACCATGGGTGGGAGAGACCATAGAGATCCTGCCAAGCACCCTTCCTACAAGCGGAGAAGCCCAGGGATGGTCACGTGGCGCTGGGTGGCAGAGATTTCTGACTCCGGGCTCATTGTTCATTCCACTCTCCCGCAGGACTCCATTGTTAGCTAAATTTTCCTCTGAATTATGAATGAGCAAAAGGCAATTATGTGTGTGCTGTGGGAATGTGCGAGACGAGGGAGATTCACACACATGGTGCAAGTACCTGTGCTGGGGAGGGGGCTGGGACTGCTTTTAAATCTTGACTCACGGCTGTTCCATTTCTGCTAACTGTGGGTTCAGCTTTAGAAACAAGAAGATTTAATTATGCATCCATTCACCACTGGGTTTCACTTTTCATGCCTCCGCAGCCCACCCCCCCCAGCGACACGCGCAAGCCCGCAGTTCTCTGCGCTGGAGGACGCTGCCGTCCCATAAGGCGCGCAGCGAGCGCGCACTTTGCTCGCCTCCGTCCGCGGAGGAGCAAGATTTGTTCAGTCCATCGCGGCTTACCACCGCGCTTACCGTTCACCCAGCACATCTGCCTGCCCTGGTTGTGTCGGACTGGACCCATCTGTCTTCCTGACACCTTGGCAGCAGCTGGAAGGGGGGGAGGGGAGGCGGTGTATTTATTTTCTTTCTGAGCACAGAGCGCTGGGTAAAGGCTTTGCAAACCTGCTGCTGGAAAGTTCCATTTTTCTTCCTTCTAGAGCGAGTTTATGTGCTTTGGATCAGGAGCAACTCCCAAGGTGTGACTTAGGCTTCTTGCTGCTCTCTGCCTTGTATGACTAACAGGCTCCCCTAGAAACACTCCCGCCAGCCTGGCTGCCGTGGCTCCATCCTGGAAAAGTGAAAAAAATGCCCGCACCAGGCACCAGATACCACTAACACAGCCAGTCACCCCGAGAGCCTCCTCCTTGAGGCCAAACCAGCCCCTCTCCCTGGCCTGCCGACTATGGCTGATGGGAAACATCTCCCTGACCTAGCTCAAAGGACCCTAGGATCCTGGGGATGATGCTATTAATTGGTCTGGTTTCTCCCCCTTCCTGTCAAACACAGGAAATTGGATTTGACCTTTGCTCTGATCACTCTAGAATCATTCTTGGACTAAAGACTTCCCGCCTTTGTAGTCAGAGCATCTATTACCGCCCTGATTAACGCCCGTGCTCTGATGGGCGGGCTCCAAAGGCAAATGCGATTTCCGTGATTTCTGGTCCCCATGTTGAGTGCAGATGTCTTTAAATGGAGTGAAATCATCTTTAATAAGCATGCATCAGCATTCAGATGGCTCTGGGGTACATTAACAGTTTCCCAGCAATATGCCCCATGCCAAACCACCTTATGGGACCCTTCCAGATCCAACAAGGAAAAAGCAGGAAAAATCTCAAAGTAAATCCAATTCTCAACCAAACCATTATGTATTTAGGATAGACTCGGAAATGTGATGCTGTTTTTTTCTCAGCACTAATGGAGCACCCGGCACTTCTCAGGCGTAGTAAGAGGAGAAGGTTAAAAGAGAAGAAAACCACTTTACCCTGAGATTAAAGAAACAAGCAAATTATTCTGTAGGGAAGCTGCTTCATTGTTCAGAGCCTCAACCTTTTCCTAGCCTTAAAATAGGATTAAGGATCACCACTACAAGGCTTTGGTATACAAATTACCTGTTTTTGCAAAGTGTGTTGATTCATTTCACATTTATCAAACCCACATTTCAAATATACTTACTCTACTTAGATCCACAGTAGAGTCAAAGTAATGTCTAACACCTGTAATAAGAAGGTCTCTGCCAGGTACAGTGAGCATGTCTGCAACTCCAGGGACTTGGGAGGCTGAGGCAGGAGGATCACAAGTTTGAAGCCAGCCTCAATAACTTAGTCAGGCACTGTCTCAAAATTTTAAAAAATAATAATAAATAAATAAAAGGGGTTAGGAGTGTAGGTCAGTGGCAATGTACTCCTGGGTTCAATACTAGTACTGTAAGAAAAAAAAAAGATCACATTTGTGTTTTTCACTAAACGTTTCACCGAGGACCAGGGACATAAATGTCTGTGGAATAAATGGAAGGAATCCTCAGGAAAGTAACATTTAACTGGAGGTTCTAGAAAAGCCCATAAATAATTGTACTACATAGCAGAATGTGGAAAGCATTCTAAGGTAAGAACAAGTCAAGGTTCAGGATGAAGTGTCAGGGGGCAGGTGACATTCAGACAGCAGGAAGAGAGTGACATTGTTCACCAGACAGCAGGTGTTACCTGGGCTTCAAGGGCTGTGGGACATCAGTGGGAAGGAGAGATGGCAAATGCCTCTTAGAGACAAGTCAAAGCACCAGCTGAGAGTGCAGAAGGGAGGCTAGGGGACATTGGGCATAACAGGTGTGCCCAGATGAGGTGCTCAGGAAAGCAGGGGAGCAGGCTGGGCACCTCTTCCCTCCCTGGAGCACCTGCTGGCCCTGTCCCTTTTCAGCCCCCACTCTTGTTCCTCCAGCTGGAGAGTGCTGCTATTTTACATCTGATTATTGAATCATGGCCAAAAAATTAGTATCAGGGAGTAGCTCCAGGATCTAACCCTATGTTTCTGCCACCAAAGCTCTTCTCCCCCTCCATCTAGCAAGAAACTGTATTACTGTAACTGGAGATAGCCTTGACCTTGAGGAAAGTGGAGACCCATTGGGAAATCACTGCAGGGGTTGTTAAGAGGTTCTTACCCAAGGTTTGGCAGAGAATGGAAGAGACTAGCATAGAAGGTATCCTCCCAAGAGTTTGTAATAATTAAGTGTGGGAGGGGGCAAAGAAGCAGGAGGCGGTTTCAGAAATGGGGGAGATAAGAAGGTGGCTCTAGGGAAAGAGGATGAGTTGATTTGGGACATAAACCCCCAAAGCCAACCCTTAAATATTGCCAGGCATCTAAATCATTCCCGTCTTCCTCCCTTCTTCACCTGTGTCATTACTATTTCTCAAGGATCAGCTATGGACCAGGCAAAGGGTTAGGCCAAGGAATTCACAGTGTAGTGGAGATTTTCAAGGTGCTCTGACAGCCTTGCAGAATAGTAGGGGCAATGGGTGTTTCCCTGGGACAGTGAATGAAGTGACATTGTCTTTCTGCATATGCTCACAAGGCTAGACCACTCACAGTCAAGACTTCCAAGACTTTCAGATTTGACCCACAGAGATGAAGAACCAGGCCCCAAAGGTCCCTCAGTTCTGCCCTGTTTTGATCATCTCAGTGTGAAGCCAAAGGTGGCTGAGAGGGCCCCAAGCCCTTTTACCTCACAGACCTACAGAGGCCACTTTGGACATTCATCTTGACTCATTCCCCTGATCACCAGTCATAGGGGCCCACGGAGAGAACTGAGCAGAAAGGGTCTTGGAAACTCTAACTTGAGTCAGAATGTCAGCCTGTTTGTTGAAGGAAAGCCGTTTTCTGGTGCTTCCTCCCCAGGCCACACAGAGGGCTTTCGCATAGATGGGCAGTGCTGGCTTCCTGTGCCCCGCTGCTCCTGGCAGAGCAGCTACTCGAGACTGGAGGGCACTGAGGACCCCCTCCCAGGCCAGGTGGGGTCAGGCAGCCCCAGGTAGGGGCTGAATCCTCAGTCCTACTGGCTCACGGTCTCCCCCTCTCTGCTCATCCCACTCAGCCTCGAGCCCTTCTCCGGATGCCCAGGATGCCAGACGGCCAAGGAGCAGAAACCCCTCCACCTGGACCGTGGAGGATGTGGTCTGGTTTGTGAGAGACGCCGACCCGCAGGCTCTAGGGCCTCACGTGGAGCTCTTCCGAAAGCACGTACGCAAGGGGTGGCCTGGCCAGGACCGGTGGGGTGTTGGGGACATAGAAAGAGGATGCTGGAGGGTCTGGACTAAGCTGGAGGGGTACCCTCGAGGGAGCCCAAGATGAGAGAGACAGCTGCAAACACAGGCTTCTCAGAGCAGAACAACCACTTGGTTTTGTTTTAAGGGATATTTGTCCCATCTGTTCTCTCATTTGGGGCTTCATCGGGAGTGCCTATTTTCCTGCCTCTCCATCCATCTGTCTGTGCATTCAACAGTCATTTATAGCACACCTACAATACGCCAGGCGAACTGTAATAGTGCCTGTTCCTAAACTGCTTTGAGGATTAAATGAGAAAATGCATATAAAGTGTTTAGCATGATGTACGGCTCATGGGTAGACCGCAGTTAACAAGTATTGTGACAATTATTTCAGCAATTCTGAATTATGTCAAGATGGTAAATGAATAAAAGGTAAGAATTAAAATATTTTATCTGCCACACTTACCATGTTAATTCTGTATTGTTACCATAACTAATTACCACAAATAGAGTGGCTGAAACAATCCAAGTTTCTTATCTCACAGTTCCGTAGGTCAGGAGCCTGGCCTGGGTCTCCCTGGGCTAAGCTGTAAGGTTGGCAGGGCAATGTTCCTTTCTGGATGTTCTAGGGAACATCTATTTACTTGCCTTTTCTGGCATCAAGATCCACTCTTTCCTTTGTATCCCCCTAACATTGTCTTTCAAGCCAGTGACATCAAGCTGAATCCTTCTCAGCCTCGAGCAGTCCTTCTGATTTCTTTTTTTTCTTTTTGATCCCAGGGATTGAACCCAGGGGTGCTTAACCACTGAGCCACATCCCCAGCTCTTTTTTATATTTTATTTTGAGACAGAGTCTTGCTGCATTGCTAAGTGTCTTACTAAGTTGCTGAAGCTGGCTCTGAACTTGCGATCCTCCTGCCTCAGCCTCCAAAGCCACTGGGATCACAGGCATGTGATCCACTGCGCCCTACTCTTCCACTTCTAAGGATCCTTGCAATTACATTGCTCCCATCCCAGAATCCAGGCTGAACTCCCTACTTCAAAGTCAGCTGATTGGCAACTTCATCCCACCCGTAACCTTAGTTCCCTTCACCATGTCACCTAACATGTTCACAGATTGAATAAATTAGGATATAGACATCTTAGAGGGAGAGGAGGGCATTATTCTGTTTGTTACAGTAATAATTTTCCCCTCCCTGACCCTTATTTTTACTTAATGATTCTGCCATAAAATCACACTCTCAGATCTGAGAATGGTCCTTAACTTGGTACCCACATTTTATCTGGCATATATTTGACTTACCTGACAACAGTGACCAAAGATCAGAGAGCACAGGGGAGGCTGCACTTAAACGGACTTGGCAGGGGGCATCTGGCTGTCTTCCCAGGGTGATAGAAGAGGGGAGGAGTCTCAGAGTGGGATAAAGAGGGAACATTAGGAAATGGGGCTCCTGGGAGGGGCCCACAGATGAGTTTTGCCCCCCCCCCCCCCGTCATTGTGTCAGGAACATGGAGAGTGAATGACCAAAAGATGGTGGTCCATCAATACTGGCTGCTGGACAGACATATGAGAGGGGCTGGTGACCCTTGTACCTCTGTGTCTCTTCTCCCCACAAGACCACCCAATAGGAGAGCACTACCTTTTGTCTCTAGTGACCTAGTAAACAGCACTCTAGTGAGCAAGGAATCCCAGCCTGGCTAGGTACATAAATGCCATGTGCATTCTGGAGGGTTACCATTTCCAGAGACAAATCGGAGCTACACCAGGACTTTAAAGAATTGGCTCACTCCCTTAGTAGTTTTGGGGTGAATCAGGCATATTATTTACTGTATACCATCTTGTATAATTCACAAGGCCAAAAAACACCTGAAATTCCTCATAGAATTGGCAGTTAATCTGTAAATTGGCTAAAAGTATCTGGGCCTCCAAGAAAAAAAGTCAGTGATAAAGTGATGGATGGAAGTCAGGGTCTCATGCCAGCATCTGGAATGGAATGGAGAGGCAACCTCTGGTTTACGGTATAATGGATTTCACTTTTTGCTCTGTTATCCCTTGATTGGATGACAAACACCATCCATGGGATATTGGGAACATAGGTGGGGTTATGTTTGATACCTTCAATCAGGAATATTCAGTTTAGCAGATGATTCCAGGAGGATAATGGGAAGAGAAGCACAGAGTATTTGTTTGCTTTAATTTTTCTAAGGATCTTGCTCTGTAAATAAACCCATTTGCTCTTGCTACCCTTGAGCATACCTTAACTTAAGCAACCACTTGATTACTCTATCTCCTGGGTTTTCTTTTCTTTTTCTTCTTTATTTTCTGATTCTTTCCACCAGGAGATTGATGGCAATGCCCTATTGTTGCTGAAGAGTGACATGATCATGAAGTACCTAGGCCTGAAGCTGGGACCTGCGCTGAAACTCTGCTACCACATTGACAAGCTGAAACAAGCCAAGTTCTGAAGATCTTTAAAAGATAGAAGCTGAACCCAAGACAAAGAACTCAAGACTATCTTCTGCCTTACCAACATCCAGCCAACATCATGAAATAGGTTCTCTTCTTAAAATTAACAGCCACAATGACTTGGTCTTTTTTTTATAGAAAGAGTGTATCTTCGCCTTTTAAAAAAAATTCTACCTGGCTCTTTTTAAAAGGCTCATCTATGTTAATGATTTGCCAAAAAATTACCAAAAGCCTATTATTTTTAACATTCCTTGATTTGTTGGTCACTCTTAGAGTGGGTGCTATCTGTATAATGAGAGAGAGTGGGGAACTGAATGCTGTCACCTAAGGAGAGCCCCGGAGGGTTCCAAGATATGAGAAGGACTTGTCCCTGCAGGGACATCCACCTCAGCACCACCTGCCTCTGTTCTCACCCAGGGACCCATCAGTGTGAGCCTTGCTGGATTCAGCTCTGAGGGTGACTGCCTCGCCTTGCACTATCTGGAAAACTTGAATTCTTTTGCTTTCTGAAAAAGAGGAAGAAAGATCTTTTCTATTCGCACTTATCTGTAGTACTGTGTTGTCCCACTAGAGGGCAGACTGCTAATGAAATTTCAGGACCCTTGACTGCAGCCGGATGCTTATTCAGAACTCAGTGACTGGCCTGGGGTTTCTTTGAATAAAATCTAGCCTATACAGGGAATTTATCCCACACATTGCAACTTGGGAAGAAATTGTCATCTAGAGGGTTCTAATTCACATCCAAGCATTATTGACTGACTGATACACAACAGCAAAGGAAAGAATTGGAAGCGTGCTCTACCCAGATGGGGCTTTAGAGTTCCTTCCTTTCCAGAGTCCTTACTGAGGTGTTGATGTGTTGTCATGTCGAAGAATCTTAGTGACATTTAGCCATGGGTGTTTCTTGAAAAAAGGAAAAGAAAAATGTCTTAACTAAATTTTGAAAATGGAGAGTGTTGATTTCTAGTTGTATTGCTAGATTCTGTAGTTGTATCTGTGGCTAATTTTTCTAATCCTCAACAAATACACAGACACGCTATTATTGGGTTTAATTCAATTTACAAATAGGTTTTCCTTCCTCACCGTGAAGTGATAGAAAAAGAATTGATTTTCTACCCCTATGCAGCTGTGTCCAGAGAAGGACGATGAATTCACAATTTACTAGGCAGAAGGATATCCTCTTCTCTGCTATTTATTTTTTTGTATTATTCTCTTTTCTCTCTCTTTTTTCTTCCGTTTCCTCACTGAATAGGAAACATCCTCAAAATAAATTCACCTTTTTGATGGGCATGTCCTCTTCCTTAAAAGAACATCTACAGTGTTAGAGATGAAGAGGTGAATATTAGACCTTGCAATCCTTGGGAGGATGCAGGTCAAGAAGAACTCAGGGCCTCTCTGGGCTCAAATTTGAATTAGAAAAGGCACAGCTTCCTCCAGGATGCAGCCTAAGAGGGGTCTCAGCTGGCAAGTGCAGCCAGGTAGGATCTCAGCTCCCTTACCCCTCCACCAGCTGCCCTTGTATGGGACATGACCTGTATGGCCTTGAGGGCGACCTTGATTGGATTTGCATATGGAATGTCTATGAATCAGAATTTAGATGAGGACCATAAGAAATATTGCATGCCACCTTATTGGGGCCCACTTTGCTGAGAAACATTTGAGAAAGCACATCATAGAAAAATCTCTTTTAGACACACAAGCAGTGGCTAGATATAGAGTTTGACAGAGGGGAGGGAAAAAAATGTTCCAACCCTACCCATGAAATTGAGCAGACAGTGGAAGAGCTTCATGTATGTTGGTTTCAGCACAAAACAAAACTGCCCCACATGAGGCCTTGGGTTAGATGTTGAAGTGAGTAACAGATTCTGTCCCTTAAAAGTTTGTTAATGCAAAGTGCTCACTCTGAAGTTAGATAACTTCCTTCAAGAAGCTGGACAGTTGATGTATTCAGAACTGCCGGTGTGAAAACTAGGAGATCCAGAAAAATCCCATGACAACCCAGGTTCTTCACTTTTGTGGGTTTGGTCCAGCCCATGGATATTTATGGTGCCTCTTCTATCAACATATGCTTCCTTTAGACTTTCACATTAAGATCTCAAAATATCCTAACCACCCTCACCAGTGCCTCTCTGGCTACAGACACACAAACAATGGTGCCCTCAAGTTCAAATCAGTTCCAAACAATGTCACAGAGATACCTTGGGTAGTTTTCAAGGGGGAGAGATGTTCCTATTTCAAGCCTAGGGGAAAACTGGAACTGGGTTCCCACGCAATTGCTTTCACCCAGGTGCTGTCTCATTTCACATGAAACTTTCAACAGGCCAGATTGCTGAAGCCATGATATTTAAGGTTTGACTTAAAAAAAAAAAAATCTCACTACTCTTAAAATGAATGCTGCCACATCAGAAAAGAACCTGGGGAAGAAATTCTTCTTGCCTGTTTTTGTACCGACATGCAATTAGCTGACCAAATTATTGTGGCAATACTGTAATTATAATTAATTTTCATCCCTCTCAAAAATCTTGTCAAACCAGGCAGCTAAATAGCTTCTCAAATGTAAAACACACCAGGCTATTTTTCTCTAAACAGACTTTAAACGGTCAGGCCATTGGGGTCACACTGGCCCAAATGAAAGCTACTTGGGGGCCTCAACTTGACAGATGCAGTATTTGTTATTCCATGGCGGTAGCTTGCCTTCAGGTTGTAGTGAATAATGATATAGTTTTGCATAATTCCAAATTAAAGTGTGTGTGTGTGTGTGTTCGTGTTCCAAACATTTCCAATTATACTTGTCTGTTAAACACTTGAAAAAAAGTTGAGACAATTCTGTTGCCTAAGGCATTTTAAATATTTTATGAAGCACATAATTCCCTTTGTGAAGACTTTTAAGTAAAAGATGTGTGTGTATGTGTTTGTGTGTGTGTGTGTGTGTATATATCTCCTGCCATTGTATTCAGAGAGCCTTAGGAAGTGGGAATGTATCAGTGATTTGCATATGCTTGGGTTAAAATGTCTCCCCAGCCTTTCAACAGAGGCAGAGCCCTTGAAGTCTTCCTATGGTTGTTATTTCTAAGTGTTGTGCCCTCTTATGCCAGCAGGGTGCGCCTTAGAGGCACCTGGGTGACAGGGTTGGTTCTGGGGTTCTGGGCCTATCGTCCTCAGGCAGCTGACTGGACATGCCATGCCTGGGCTTCAGGGTGACCAAGGAGAGGCCTCATGGGGGACCTCAGGCAAGGGATACTTGTCTGCCTCATTTAGGGTCTACCAGAGAGGACATTGGGTTTCCATGATTTCCCTTGAACAGGCTGCCAGGGATTTTTCCTTTCAACAGAAAAAAAAAAAAAAAGGATTGAAGAACCCCTCAGGAGAAGCACATATGATATTAAATACATTGGAAGGAATACTGTGCTGAGGTTGGTTTGCTTAAGAAGGAAACCAGCAAGAAAGGAAATAAAACCATAAATTCCTTAGGCAAACAATAAAAGAGTAGTTATTCTAATCTATCCCGATCCATGATTTGGCAATAATCTATTTTCATATTTATGTGATGTATGGGATATTTCTTATTTTTCTAATTAAAATTGTTTTTTAAAGTATTTTCTGAGATTGCTTTAGGAGAATTTTGTCAAATCTCTGAATAAAACTGGAAATGCTCAAAGGTAACCAGGGACTAAAAATTAGTCATTGTCAAATGTCTTGAAAGATGGAAATATCTGCTCTCTTTCTAAAGAAATGGCTAAGGATTTGTATACGTAAAGCAGGAGGTGAGAACCATCTGATGAGTGCTCAAAAGGACACCTTCCCAACTCTTCTCCAGAGTGGGTGGAGGAGGGGGTTTGACTCACATTTGTTACCTGAGGCTTATTAGGGCTGGGTGTAGCTCAGTGGTAGAATGCTTGCTGCCTAGCGTGTGTGAGACTCTCCGGGTTCAACCTCCAGCACTGGAGGGGGGAAAAGCAAAGACACAGGACTGTGTAGGAGTAGATAATTTTAAAATGCGACATTTTGTTAAGGAGAAGGATGCAAACTGTCCCCCCCCTTTTTTTTTTTTTTTGTCATAAACACTAAGAACTGAGCACTTGCCCAGCTCTCCTGTTGTCTTGCCATGTGGTTACATCCCTGTGGCATGAGAGGACCACACTGAGAACCCCCGAGGGGAATCCAGCAGATGGTCAGACATCCAGAGACCTAGACATTCCTGTTTCCATTTTGAGATGTTAAACTCAGCAGCAGCATCTGCCCACCCCATCCCCCATGGGCCCTGCAGGGGCTCCCAGAGTGTCACTCCCTCAGAGGGCTATCCAAGAGGATCCCTTCACGGACAATTGGAAGCTGGATTTTTGGAAATCTAGCATTTACTTGAAAGAGAATCGCTCTTATTTATTGCCACTAGTTAAAGATTATGGAAACATGTCTGCTAACAATTTGCTTTGTGTAATTTGTTCTAATGCTAATAAGCAACAGCTGGGACACTTCCTGTGGTAAATTCCTTTGTGGTTACAGTGGTATCATCACACACGGACTTCACCAAAATGCTATACTTGGGAAGAACACTCACTCCTGATCTCCCAGGCTTTAGGAAATTCCCCTCACTCAGAAGCAGCACTGGGCCACAGCGTATTTTTAGAGGATCATTTGCTTTTCTTCACTCTCTGCTTTCCCAAGATGGGCCCCAGACCTGTGCTCTTAAAATCCTACATCACTCCTGGGGGTTCTTGGCACACTTAGCTTGGAGTTTGATTTCCTACAGAGGAAAAGATGGCAGGTACAGTTTAAGAAGGACACCTTCCTCCATTTCATGGTTGGACAAGGGCGCTGGACCATGAATTGATATCTGCAGGAGACACGCCCCAGAGCCCAGAGCTGAGTGCTGATTCAGTAATCAATTGAATAATGATGCCTGATGTATAGGGACAGCAACATCTTTCTGTCCAGAGTCAACATGTACAACTCAGACTTGCTCTCAGCTGTCATCCCACCATGCTCTGATCTTGAGTGCAGCCACATGGCCTGAGCCTCAGAGTCAGTTCCATGTACTCCATGCCTGTCGAAAAGGCCAGCATACACATCTTCCACTGGATCCAACTTTGGAACAAACCTCTGACTTGTTTTCTAAACAACTCACTATGAAATACAATACCCTCAATGAGTGTCATTTTCCAATAATCATGTGCAGCCAAAGGCTACCTTCCTCAAAAGGAAAAGGAGCTTCCTCAAACCTCATCTGCACCCCCAAGCCCTCAGAGCTGGACCACCTCTCCCACAATACTGAGAAATTGCTATGCCTGATCACTTCCCATTTCAAGATGTCTCCTCCCTTAGGAAGTGGCTTATTTCTCTGTTGGACAGCTCTGATTGTGAAAAAGTTACTTCTTGGGGAGACAGATGTCTGAGAATCTAACACAGACGTTTGAGATGATGCCAATTCTGAAATTTTTCTCTTTTTAACAGAACTTGTCCATGCAGTAACCAAGTCTATGAAACAAACTGGCATTAGGAGTGGATCCCAGCAATAGGTTGCACTACATTAGGATCAAGGAATGGACCATTTATATAAATTTTTTAGAACTTAGACAGTTCATGACATCATCTTCATTAGGTTGTCAGGGGGGAAAAATGGTGAAATTTTTGTGACCTTATAAAAAGGTGGGGGGATACCTGGGAGGATTTTCAGTGTCGTTATAAATCTGTCTACAGTCACATAAGCATATATGGTACATAATGCATAAATCAAGAAGGCCACGTGCCTCATAAACAACTATGAAAAAGGCACTCTGAGATTTGAGGCCCCGTATCTTAATTGTACTCATCAGTGATATAAAGAACTAAGGAAGCTTTAGACAAAAACATGTTATGACTGATGAGAGAAAAGTAAACACAGCCTGTTGTGAATTTATGGAAGAGTGATGTAGTTTATGAACCCCCGTCCAAGTTAGATTTCGGGCTTGCATGCATGAACAAACATGTATCTGTGAGTTAAAACAACAACACTAGGAACTGGGGAAGGTTACAGCAGGGATTGTAAAAGATCTTGCTTTCTGGAACATTCTCTTTCATTCAGAACTATACAGCAATGATTTAAAATCAGATCTGAAGTGCACATAACACTAGTGGATGTGGCTTGCTTAGATAAGATTCTAGATGATGGAGTGGATTCTCTATGAAAATTTGAGATCTTGGTATTTGGGGAAAGCAGACAATACCCAGCGCCTGGAGTAATACCTGTCTTAGAGGAAGTCTGTATTAATACTCTGGTTGACTGGTGAATAGAATGCTTGGCCAGTTTTCATATTGCCTCCTAAGCACCATTAGATTTTTTTTTTTTAAGCCTCAGGTTTTATCCCTACTGAAGAATTGCTAAAGGGACAAGCTAAAAAAATGGGCAGCAGGCCTTCGGCTTCCCCTGGCTCTCCGAACATGCCAGCCAACAGGCCACTTGCATTTCATTCCCATGGCTTTGTGTAAAGGTCTCACATTCTGCTTGGCCAGGTGCTACTGCAAGCATAGAGCATAACAACTGATAATTTATAGTTTTACTTTTAAAACACACCTGTTCCTTTTCTTTCTCAGTATGTGATGCCGCCCAGAAATAAGAGCTGTGTTTCCATTGGCTGGGTAAGGGCTCCCGGGACCGGCTTCTCCTGAGCTCTGCCCAGGGACTTTGCCCAGGGACTCGTCCTGGGGCACCTTGCTCTGCTCCCAGAAGGCTGGCCTCTGGGGTGCTCTTCCCCACAACCCCTCGCAGCTCACACCTGCTGATGGAGAAGGTTCAGCCCTCTGGAGGTGTATTGAAGAGAGCTTCCTCCTGCCCTTTTCTGATCTTGCTCCTCTCCTCCTTTGAGAGCAGATTTGGAAATAACGGGGTCTTTTCTTATCTCCCCCACCAATGATTACATAGAAGGCTTGAGAAATTATCACAGGACTGATTTTCCCCCTCATAACCATACCAAAATCTAGTGTTTCATCTTTAAAAAAAATCACTTTAAAAGCCTGGACACGTGTTCCAATTATGTTGTCGTTGCTCAGAATATTTTTAATATATCTCTTTAGGGATATATTAAAAGCTAGGATATATTCTTTTCAAAGTATAGTTGGAAGACAGTCATTGTCCCTTGAGGGTGGGATTTGTTTTATTTTTCTTCTTGGAGCAAGCCATAGACTCTGGATCATGTCTGGTGAATAACAGAGGGAACCGAATTGAGGTTTAAACGATGTGTCTTGATACACGTTTGTTTGTCCATTTCTTGTGTATTTCTTCATTTGATAAAAATGGTTTGAACAATATCAGTCATAATTCATTTGTCAAATATATTAGATATCAGTATAAGGAGCTGCAATGCATAAACTATTTTGAAGGACAACATTATTTGGGTGTAGAACATTCAAAGTAATTTTGTTGCTGTATCTTTGAGCATGGTAAGCTGAGCAGACATACAGAGATCAGCTTCACACCTACAACCTAGAATCCCAGAGTTGGGATTCCACTTACTTCCACACCTTCCCCCAGGAGTCCCACATCACTCTTTGGGGGGCAGAACATGATGCAGTACAAATAAATAAAAGAGAAAATAAAACCTTTCCAGGTTATCTCCTTCCATACCTTTACCTCTTCTGGAAAAGAAGATCATCCAGATGACCTTTAAAAGCATTTATAGCTCATTTCCTTTCATCAAAAGCTGATGGAGTTAGACCACCATGGTATTTAGAGGGTATTGGTTCCTTCCTCTTCTCCTTTATTATTCCAAGCTTCTCTCCCTCCTTCTGTCCAAAATTGTCATTGAGGTGTTTCCTGATCCTCCTCTCTCAGGGACCCATAATTCCTCCTCAGAGCCACATCAGCATCACTTTCCCAGCACTTTTTACTTTCCAGTTCACTCTTTCCCTCTTTCCTCCTATCTCCATGTTTCTCCCCGCCCCCATCATTTTTTTTCTATTCCATCAGCTCAAATGTTTTTTTTAAAGAGAGAGAGAGTTTTTAATATTTATTTTTTAGTTTTCAGCGGACACAAAATATTTTATGTGGTGCTGAAGATTGAACCTGAGCCGCATGCATGCCAGGCGAGAGCGCTACCGCTTGAGCCACATCCCCAGCCCTCAAATGTCTTTTGAGAGAAAGAGGAGGGGGAAAAAGAAAGAAAGCATGAGCAGTAACCTGCTTCGTCCCTGGTCCAGCAGGGCTGACCTCTGCGTGGCTCTCACTGTCCAGTTGTCACCTGCCCCCAGCATTCCTTGGCTCTCTCATGCTTCCTGCACTAGCTCCTTTTATTCTTTCCATTTTGCAAGGTCTAGTCCCCTCAGCTCTGTGCTTGAGTTTGGGAACAAGAGCCTCACCCCTTCTGGGAGTTTCATTCTGTGACTCACCCTGATGTCCCACTGGTAGACCTCTTGAAGCTTCATCAAGTGTAATTCCCATCCCTCTAGGTGTCTCTCCTTATTCAGCCTCGAAGGTCAAACACCAGGTGACCTGGATGAGCTATTTCTCTCAGACATGCTGTCCCCTGCAATCTGTAATCCTAGAGGACTGTGACATCTAGGAGCATTCCCTATGCAGCGTTGCCCTGCCCCACTTAGCCCTAACTGTGTCCTCTGGAACCAAAGCCAGTTCAGAGCCTCATGTTTAAGTAGAGGGTCCGGCCAGCATCAAAGACATGGAATAATGACCT